CCTCAAGATCAGTAGCTACTCTAACTGCCCAGTTATTGTCGTCTAGCTTGCTGCTTTTCTTGACTAACTTATTAAGTTTAGAATACTCTGACCTGTTAGCGTCTGAGTTTGGGTCTTTGCGCTTAAACTGTGCCCGCTGAATCAATAAATCCTTGGTCTTCCGTGACAGGTGTTGCTCCTTTGCCTTCCGGGGTCTTTTGCCTAGTACCTCCAGTGAGACATCAGTGACGGTCTGACTGAGATTACGCCACATATTCTCGAGGTCGACCTCACTATCCAGACTTGCAAATCGGTTTTGAAGAGCCACATTGTACTCTGTAACCGTAGTACTATCCCTCAGGCGCTCAATGGCAGGCACATTGGGCCTGTTGGCGTTGATCTTTGTCACTGACTGAAGTTTGATTTTCAGCAGTCCTAGAACCAGATAATGATCGGAGCCGATGTCTGCCCCGCGACATACCCTAACATCAAAAAGTGACTGACGAAACCGCTTTCCAATGCAGATATGATCTATCTGATTGACGGTGAGCCCGTTGGGGGACCGCCATGTTCCCTTGTGAATGTTCTTGTGCTCGAAAAGAGTTCCCCCGATGACAAGCTGGTTCGTCGCACAGAAATCCACAAGTCTCGTCCCGTTGTCATTTGATGAGCTATGGAGTGATTCCCCACCGATGACCGCTTCACTTCCATATCTGCCTGATGTTACTTTTGCATTAAAATCGCCGAGCAGTAACTTGATATCGTGACGAGGTAGCCCATCAAATGTATCTGTGAGTGTCCTATAAAACTTATCTTTCTCACTCTCCTCTGCACCCTCAGTTGGAGCATAGGCCACAACAACAGAGATGTTAATTTGCTTACTATGCAGCCTAGCAGTTAAAACCCGCTCCGATGTGGGAGTGAACGATATCAGGGAGTTTCTGATTCGTTTTGAAAGACTGAGACCGACTCCCTGTCTCTTGATCCCGTCGACTCTACCGGAATGGATGAGTAGACTGCCATTGTCCAGTAGAGTGGTGCCAGATCCAGGCATGTGAGTCTCGGTGATCCCCAAAAGATCCAATCTGTACTGATCAATGTTTTGACTAAGTTGGTAGAGCTGTGTAGATGAGCTGACAAGAGATAGAACGTTCCATGTTCCAAAACGTAAAAACTGTTTGCAATAATTTACTGGATTGGATTTGTTGGAAGCAGGGTCAACATGGATGATCTGTTGACTAATAAATCTGGTCGGATGACGAGTACCCCCTCTTCTCATCAGGCGACTGGGGTCCCGTAGGCTTTGCCCAGCCTCCGTCATGCTGGAACCATCCGTCCTTGAATTGGAAGTAGCACTCCGTCCATTTGATGTGTGTGTTGTTTCAGTAGCGTTGTTATTTGAGGTGGAAGGGATGCTGGCCCTTCGCACCCGATGAACTGCATGCAGTCCTAACGAGACAGATGTCCCGGTTATATTTTTCGACCTGTACTGGTCTAGAGCCGCAGTGTTCTGTTACCGTTCACCTGTTTTAACTGGAATCACCCAGAACAGGCTACTAAGCTTAACAGTGGCACCTCGAGAAGGGTGTGGCTCTTCACCACGCACTACGGATCTTGGGCTCGGAGAGGTTGTGTAAGACACTTCACGAGCCCCTGGAGTTTGGAAAACCCCTTAACCCCAGCGTCACTCTATTCGATCTCAAGAAATCGTCTCCAATCAGGAACTCTGTGTCTAACAGATCAGTTACCACGAAAGTGTGCACAAACTTATTTCCAGCAACCACCACTTCCATCTCTAACTCTCCTCTGATTTGTATCGTGTCTTGAGAAAATGACTTCAAGGTCATGTCACACGGTCGGATCCCGCTCTCTAGTCTCAGTCCTCTCACAAAACCCGTGGACACAATACTCACAGCCGACCCGCTGTCAACAAAAAGGTAGGCTGCCACCCCTCTGCAACTCCCAGCCACCAAGATGTGTTTCCAGTTCACTGCATTTACCTCCTTCTGCTCCCCTGATGATTTTAATTGCGACTGACGGGGAATTGATTTTGTCCAGTCGCACGCCCGTTTAAATGGTCTCTCTGCATACCATACTGTTCAGTCTCTGTGGGTCTGTACTGCCCTCCTCGTCCTCCAGATCGCCCTCTGTCGACGTTGCAGAATCTTTGGATGTGTCCCTCACCGCGACAATTATAACAAATCAACGGCCTGCGACTCTCTCCTCTACTCGCATCTCTACTCGCACCTCTACTCGCACCTCTGCTACTCCGCTCAACCGGACTCACTCTACTCCTACAAACACTGGCAACATGCCCTTTACCTTCACACAGCTGGCACACTATATTGCTCCAACACGAGTCAGCCTTGTGACCCCTCTTCCCACACATCTGACAGTCATTCTCATCCTCTTCTTTCTCACCTTGCCTGCCAACACCATAAGTAGGTGCCCGGAATTCCAGTGTAGTCATCGGATCACTGTCAAGCTCTCCCTCTACTGCCTTGGATATGTGTTCCTCCTGTACAGCTAAACGGATCACACTATCAAAATCCTCTGTCTCCGTGTTCATCTGAAGGAGCCGTCTTTTAATAGCGGGGTCTCTCACGCCCTGTATCAACACAGTGATACCTGCACTCTCTCTCTCCACAGCTCTCGGGTAGATCTTCTCAGCAGTATCCTGTATTCTCTCTGCGAACTGCTCCACGCTCTCCAACACTTCCTGCTTCATCTTATGGAACGTTGTCCTCATTATTCTTGCATCAGTAGCGGGATATAGCTCTCTTTTCACCGCACTAATCAGCATCTTCACCTCACCTCTCTCATCACTCGACAGCCGGATGTTCTTCACTTTCTTGAACTTTGCATCGTCTTCTATCTGATTTGCAAGCCTCAAGTCGAGATTGTCCTTTACTCCGCATAACAGGACCCACTGCTCGAATCTCTGCAGAAATGTACAGAAGTCATCATTTTTCCTGTACCTCGGCGCCTTACACTTCATCGTGTACTCTCCCTTATCTCTTTCTGTATTTCCGGGTTGAAGATTATCGCTCTCAGTTGTCCTCGCTCTTTCTTGAAATAAGTCGCTCGTTCTCTCCATCTTTACATCTTGTTCCCTCATCAATCTCTCTCGCTCAAGTTCTGCTTCCTCTCTCCACCTGATCATATCTCTCTCCAACTCTCTCACCTGGTTCAAACACTTCTCTCTCTTCTCGCCCAAATCAAACAACTCCACCTTCTTTTCTTTTATCTGGTCCTTATCATCATCCGAGTCTAATTTCTTCATTTCCATTTTCATTTCAACCATCTCATCCAAAATTAGCTCACTCTTTTCTGCCAGTTCCTTCAGATTCTTTTCCATCTCTGCGAGTCCAGACATAGTACCACTTTCCTAGGTTCTCCAGATAGTGTAAAATAAGGCTGGCACCCAGAACAGTCCTCCCGAGGCGTACCAATGGTAAACTCTGCCTGCTCACAAAGGTACGGTAGCGAAGTGGCGTACACGGGTAATTAAAATGTACAAGGGTACGATAGAGAAGTGCCGTACACAGTACTTAAGAAATACACGGGTACGATCTTGAAGTATCGTACGCGGTACTTAAAGAAATATACGGGTACGATGTCGAAGTCTCGTACACGAATACCTGCAAATCTCTAGCTCTAAAGCTCTGCAACTTTAACTCTTACAGGCTTCTGAGTGCCGTACAACTTTAAATGATCGAATGACTTGATCGAGTCCTAAGTTAGGTAAGAACAAAGGAAACAGGGGGTTCGAACAATAAGTCTCGAAAGGTAATATATTATTATTTGATCAATAAACTAATACTAGTGACACATCGGCCACGTCACAGTGTTCTTCGGCAACGGTAATTTTATAAACCTTACCCAACAAGCCACTCGAAGAACTGCCGCTAACGGGGCAAGCAAAACCTACCAGCACTGGGTCACGTGACATCACATGGCGAACCACGTGACACCGCGCGGCCCAATCTGTCCAATAACCTAACTTAACTAGCTAACCTGACTAACACGTGCCTTCCTCCGCAAAACCATCCATAATCTATTCCACTAATCTAATCTAATCTTATACTAATCCTAACGGTTATTCAACACTTATACTAGAATATTCTAAAAGATCTAAAAAGCCTAATATATATATAAATACTGCTGCAACTAGCTTACCATATTACACTATATGACTCTTTAGTAAAGGAATCTTTCATCAAGGTATAAGTTGGAAAATGATGCACTACAAATATTAGGCGTCCGCACTGAATTGATTTTATAGAAATTTAAAAAGGGTGTTTCTTCTTTATATAAGCGCTAAATACTTATTGACGACTTTGTTTGCATACTACATACACTGAGTCTACGTAATTTTATCGTGAAGCAAACTTTTGTTCGACATAAACATTTAGGATCGTGATAAAGCTGCTCTTATCAAAACTTATCCGCCTAAAAATCCATTTCAATCTCGATATTCGATGTTATTTTGATTTTAAAAGATGATTATCAGAGTAATAACATTCATAAACCTGATGGATCTTAAGGCCAAAAGGTGATAACGTAATATGTGAACGACCCTTAATACTTGTTCATCTCCAGCAGCTATATATTATGATATGTTAAAAATAGAAAAATGATTTCCCCCTCCCTCTGGCATTGATAGATAAGCAATAAAACAAGTAATTTTACCCAGGTATCCTCAGTAGAACTGAGACTAATCCTGCAAGCTAAAACAAAATTATAGTTACATGAATGATAATTATTACAGAAGAATACAATTCCAGCAGGAAAATAAAATTTTAAATGAGTAAATCATTTTAACTATTTTCATTTTAATCATTTTCACATAGTAGTGAAGCATAGAAAATACTGTCAGATTTGTTCGTCCCTGTCTTGTTCTTACAACATTCACTCATTCTACGATCTCTAAGTCAATCTGTTTAACACTAAATCTGGGGTCGGAATTCAAATACTCTCATTTTTTACTTGTTAGGTATTTTAAGAATAAAATGTTGCAGATGTAAAGCTGGCGGCATAAGTTACAGTGCATCCGCAAAGAACAAGAAACTAGCAAAACAATGTGCTGCTGCTGGTGTTGTTGATATTCTGGGTAAGACCCATTGAAATTATTCTGCTCAACTTTACAAATTAAATTTGGTGAGATTCAGATGATCTATTTTTGTTTGTTCATAAGTAGGCCTAGGATCAAATAATTAATCAATTAATTAATTCAACGTTATAATTTGAAAGCTCAACTAAGCAATCGTCTGAGTATGCATTTTAAAATTCAGCATATATCGTATTACGACATTTACCCTATACTACATTTTTAAGGCGTAAAAGAGAGACCAAAGAAAAAGCCTAAAAAGAAGAGTTCCAGAAATCAGAGATATCACTTCAGATACCCTGCTCCCGTGAGTTTAATTTTAATTGACCTACATTATTTTGACTGTCTTGCCAATATTACAGTATCAGACAGTCGAATATGTGATATCTAAGTTAGGGTAAGTTAGGTTTTGCTGGCTCCAGATTATATTTGAAGACCTACCTGACCAACCTGACCAACCTGACCAACCTGACCTACCTGACCTACCTGACCTACCTGACCTACCTGACCTACCTGACCTACCTGACCTACCTGACCTACCTGACCTACCTGACCTACCTGACCTACCTGACCTACCTGACCTACCTGACCTACCTGACCTACCTGACCTACCTGACCTACCTGACCTACATGACCTACCTGACCTACTTGACCTACCTGACCTACCTGGCCTACAGGAAAGAAAAATTTTTATTTACCACAAATAATCAATACATAATGTTATATTCATAAATAAATTCAAATTTCAATTTCAAACACATATACAGTACGCCGCGCACACAGCCACAATTTAAAATTGTTCAGAAATTCGTAGGTCAGCTGTAGGCGCCGCGCACAGGATCTATTTAATTGTTAACTTACAATTACATGTCACATTTCTTAATTACTAGAGCCAAAATTTCAGAAGCAAAATAATTTAAAAGATATTTCTGTCGTTCACGCAGTACAGGCCGTGAGCACTGCGATCTAATTCACAGGGGGAGCTGAAACCAGGCCCCCGATCAAACGCTGCCACGCGCAGTCAAACGCCGCCAAAAGCCGCTCTCGCCCAATGAAACCGCTGCATTATGCAAGCCAAGCTCCGCATATGAATATATGTAATTCAATTATGCATACTAACTCGCAAAATGCAGCGACTTCATTGGACGAGAGCAACTGCCGGCGACGCCCGACCACAAACGGCAGCATTCGATCGAAAACCTGGTCTCAGACCCCCCTGTGAATTAATATAATAATGGAGAGATTCCAAAAAACCGCGCGCTCGTTATTTATTGTGATTAAATTGAGTGCGCGCCACTGTGAACAGCAGTACCGCTCAAGCATGAATTAGTACTGAGCGGTACGCAGTTCTGCGTGAGGCGTAGACATTTGTAACATGACCTACCTGACCTACCTGACCTACATGACCTACCTGACCTACTTGACCTACCTGACCTACCTGGCCTACATGACCTACCTGACCTACACGTCCTACAGTCCGGGTGAGAGACCAGTTCCCTGCCTGACCCTTTGAATCATACTAATACTTTCAACACTACTACAGTTTATAAGAAATAATATGAGTTTGCATGAGAGATATTATCGTTGGCATCATAGAAAAAAAAACTAATTTTTAATCGCATTCACCGCCTCTAAGAAAATGCTTGAGCTGTTCGCACAAGGATTACAACGATGACAAGGATTACAAGGAGTACGTTATGATGTTGCTTCTCAAATTGCAACAAACTAGAGTAACCTGATACTAACTGGCAATTTGTATACTCACAAATACACGAGCCATGAAAGTAAGAGTGAAAATTGTCTCTGCAATAGTTGCACCCTCGCCCTGTGTACCCATCATCACATCTCAGCACACTATATTCAAATGTTAGGTGCGCATTTTCTGAGGTCAATGAACTGTGCGATATTTTTGTTCGATCTGTTTCGTTTGCTTCTAGATCCGAAAAAGGAACCACCACGCTGTTCCATGATTTTATAAAGTCGTCCCGGTTATGATGGTCATTGTCCCAAACTTTCAGTGATATTATTACTGTCTTGTTGGTAGGAAAGTCAATGGTAATGGGGTCTCTCAACTCTACAACTCTTGTCAAGTTCACAGTATTAGTGTTTTTTGTTGTAGTCGTGATGTCAATTTTAAATAATGTGTTGTTATTCCCATCTCGTATCACTAGCGATTTAAAGTAGAGGTCACAGTCGTTTGTTTCCCCACACCCTTTGTGATCTTCATATCGTAGAAACTGTATCCGTCCTGCCCCTCTGCAACTTATCTGCTCCTGATGGAGAGAGATCTAAGATGTAACCTGGTCACTTTTTGATAAGTTAGAGCAGTTGGAATCATAAAACAAAGAATTATCTTTTTTGTGTGGAAATTAGTTTGTAAGCGCCAAAAAAGGACAAAATAAAAATTCAGGAGACGTTAATTACGGTCAAATTAAACGTTAACCTGTTGCAGTAAAAATACCAGTAGGGTATACATTTTCCATGTTCTCCGAGTCATCTGGCGATTATCAATGACATGATTAGATGGCAAAACTTAAACGCAATTTTTTTTTTATCAATAAACTTTCAAATTGTTACACAAATACATCATTTTATTTCAAAGAAAATATCGCCGAATGACCTTACATGCCTTGACAAGTGACCGAGTGTAAACAAAATTAGGGACACCGAAACACCAGTTGACCAGTAAACTGATCATAGCAATTACATCGGGCCCTATATGCACCTATAAGTGAAGCGATGCTGCAACCAAGGCATGCTAGGTTTATTCCATTGAACTAATAAGGTTACAGCCTAAAATATAAATATGATAAATAACAATGTACCATAAATCATAATTATAAACACGCTTTATTGAACATATTTTATTAATTATACTTTAAATCAATTTATATGTCGATAATATAGTTACATTAAGTCGATAATATAGTTACATTAAGTTTGTGTGTCTGATCATCGTGAAAATTTAGGTAAATTGTTTAACTGTCAGAAGATGTTATATGGTCGTTTAGAACTGTCCAGAGGTACTTAATTAAATGGGTTTTAAACACGGATGGCCTTGAGATTTCCCTTAATTCATAAGGGAGTTTATTCCAAAGAATGTGCGCTCTGTAAAAGTAAGACTTAGATATGCCTGAACATCTGGTCTGGCTTGACGTAAGGTTTTGTGGAACTTGAGGAGAAATGTCACTAATCATACTGAGATCGTCTAGATAAATGAAAATTTTAAAATTATTAATATTTTTGTAGATTGCCTGATTGTGCTCAGTCTTTAATTTTGCTACTCAGCATGACTCCTGGGACCTGGATATCAAATATCATCCTTCAGAATTACTTTGCCCGGCACAGACAGCATTGACTTTAAAGTTTTCTCATAGGAAAAGCTTCTTGGGCTAGGCCTTCTTTAGAAGTTCAGATTTTTCTGTTGAGTAACTTGTGAGGTCACCAAATCATGTGCTTGAAAATCTAACACAATAATTTCCCCATTATTGTTATGACGCTACTTTTTAGAATTAATGACAGGACATGAGACCACTTCAAATAACTGATCAGTTTCCAGGTGCACACATTTATAGATTCCTGTTACCGACCTCTATGGAATGAGTGATTACATTATCATTATAGTGCATTATAGTGCTTTATAGTGCACTGCATTATAGTGCATTATAGTGCATTGTCTAATCCGCCAATTTCAGTTGACTCACAGACAATTCGGATTCGAGGGAATGATGACTCGACCAAAACTGTACGAGCCAAGTCAGCGAGCCATCAACTTCTCACGCCGTAACCCAGGTATTCTACAATGTACATTGTACATTTAATGTACTACTTTGACTATTACACGTGTAATCCACTGCTTTTATGCTTTCACATTATCTTACTTCCTTTTTATATCAGTATCCGCATCTAGTTTAACTCATTGCAGTAATTACGTGAAACGACCCCTTCTAGAATTTAGCCCTAACCGCTGCTACATATAGTGGAAAAATCTAATGAATGGAATGGAAAATGGTCTCAAAAAGTCGAAAAATGTGACTAAATTTGTTGTAGACAAAAATTTGCGAAATTTGTGACTAAAATTATGGTAACCAGAATGTTTGTAACCAAATTTATTGTGAACCAAATTTTATGGCCTTAAGGTAGTTATTATCCAAGGTGACGTTATATGTCACTTTATATTGATTAGGATATATTCGACAGAATGTAATTCGAGCCCCAAAATATCCAACAGCAATACACTCGTAAATATAATTATTCAAACATCGAACTTTAAAACACCCGTTTTTATTAGCTGAACTCAAGTTTTACTCTCTCTCTCTCTCTCTCTCTCTCTCTCAGATGACGAGACTTGGGTCGCCCAGCAGAGACCAGTTCAACATTACTACGACATGTTTTAAACGATTCTTGCAGATGACACTGGGACAACAGATCCTCCAATCCCAGACAGCACACGTCAATAAGATAACTATTTTTATTCAAACTTCTTTAAATACAGTGTTCACACGTGGCCGAGATCACACGCTGACTACCAGGATTGTGCAAGTTTTACCGACGGGTGGAAGGGGTTGATTTGACGTTAAAGTTACATGCTGGTCGGAAGCCATGGTTTATTTAAATCCCCGTCATGACTGATGACTATCAGAAGATTAAATCAAGCTTTCATCATCGTTGATCTGCCGGGGTGTAAAACTGAACAACTTCTGCAGTCTGCACTCCACAGTTGTATTTGTGTTGTTGAGTGTGTTTGCTGAATCACAGAGCACTAGTAGTTTCACTGGTTACATCATAGTATGAACTGCTTCTGTGTTCGTTGAAACGTTATATAACAAAGATCAGAACTCAGTATAAGTTTTGGAGAAAGTACTCTCCCTTGTGGAATGTGGGGTCCCCATTCTGCCACTTTTATGGTATGGCTAATGGCCCCAAATCTCCAACGTTAAAATTTGATGTTGAATATTTATTCGGGCTTTCCAGTGACTATTATGACCTGTTTTTTCTCGGCAGATCGGTATTATTGAGATAAGTTATAACTCACGTTTTTAGAAGATAAAACAACCTTGATTCATAGATACAAGTTTTAAGTTAGTGGGTTTATTTGGTTTTAAACTCCTTTAAGAGAAAGTTGTTTAGACCGTATCTTTTGTTATCTGCGTGTTACAAATATAGAGACTCAAACTGTTGGGATGTAATTTTATAAACTCAAATACTTCATTTATATTTATTTTGAAATTATCATACACATCGTGTTAATTGAATTTCCGTTAAGGAGCCAATTATTAAGTTATCAGAAATTGTAATCTAAACGGTACCCTATTTTTTAGTTCGAACATAACAAGTTCGAGAAAACGGCAAAAATATGGAGAAAACTTCATAAGATTTGTGAAATACAAATGGCAATTAAAGCATCGATATTATTAACATAACATAAAAGAGGAGCTTGTAAACTCTAGTTAGAGCCAGATCATTCTATTAGTGATATTTGACAATGAATACTGCTGGGCACTGGATCAATAATGAACATCGTTGAAACCTCGTTGCTGAAAATTGCTGAAGGGCGGTCACATTAAGCGCAATTTGATGCGCCATGCCGCAGGCGCGGAGACGAGTTGACATAACAAGTCTTTCTTTGCGCGACGATATAACTTTTTAAAAACACGACCAATTTGAGAACTTATACATTATCAATTATATGATGCTAGAATATGAAGTGCCTCCAAACAATACGGCCAGTCGTTGAATATTGTGATTCTTCACTTCATACTACAAATTGCATATAATTGTGTGCCAGCCACTTGTTTGCAGTTAGACGTATCACGTAGACCTGATAAGTAGTTTCTGAACAATCAAATATCAATGTCTGGTACCTGATTTCACCCGATACACGATATAATACAGAAATTTGATTCTACTAGCTAGGGCTCGTTATTTTAAATTCTGCTCCTCCAAAAAATCGTTGCGGTTTTGCAGCCGAACAAAACGGTTTTTACCATGAAACCCCTACTATAGCCATATTCCATAACCATAACCACTGTACTAACTAAAACCTCAACCCTAAACAATCGAATTTGGGGTTAACTACCCTGTCATCATGTGACCGAAACATTTTTTTGCCCATGCAAGCATTTTTATTTTACCTCATTATGCACATGCATTTGTATTAGTCATGGAATCACAAAAAAAAGTTATTTTTTGTTTTCATACCTTCAGGGAAGCCGGTGGAGTGACTTATAGCTAGAGTCTAGACCGAAGTTAATATAGCATAACAACTGTCAAAAACTTGAAATGTCACGTCAGTGCAGACTGCAGTGTGCAGAAGTCCTCACAAGAAAAAGTTTGGCCATAAGCAATAAACAATAAATTAGTTTTTATATTACCATGATTTGTGATTACTTGCGCGCGCTACTTCGGCAGGATAATTTCAAAAATGGCAAAATACGAGTAAGCTACTATTTCAAATGCACGGAAAATTTTAAAAATGTAAAGAGTTGCAAGTGCACATCAAGTGCACATCAAGTGCACTACATGGTGCACATAATAACAGTATTCGCATTATATTTTAGATGCAAGATGTGAGATAATATTATATAAATGTTGACGTTTATTAAGCAATTAAGACGCGCGCGTTTCTATTGATTAAAAACTCCTCTGTTTTCGCGTTGGATAATATTGCATTTTCCATCCTATCGGTTGTCAGGTCAAAGGGTTAGCTTTTGTTTCGATCGAATCACTTTCATTTCGACCATCCAAATTTCTTCCTTTCTATCACATACCAATATTGAATATACTTACTCACAAGATATTTTTTCATTCGTGTTTATTTTCGTTACCTAGCTTGTTCACTTCACTATCCCACTATTCAACTGTTCTCCTTTAACTCAAAATAGCGGCTTCTTAAAAAGAGGAAATGGCCGTGGATATACACAGGGTGGATGTACAGCAGGGTGTCAGGGTGTCAGAATTATTGGCGTGTTTGAAATTTTATGTGTATTTTGTGATGAAATCAATATTTTTCAACGGGTCATAACTTTACTTCTGAATATCGGAATTACAAAATTCAAAAACTGGTCTGTAGACAATCGTCTGAAATTTTTCTTAATTTCAGAATTTTGTGTTGATGTACATCAAAAACCATAATTTAGGCCGTTATTTAGAGGGTCGATTCCATACTTGGTTAGATTTACGAAGGAGTAAGGGATTTATGTGTAATTTTTTTTCGGTGAATTTTTCTGAAATTATTCTTTAGACTTAAGTGCACAGCTCTTCAAGCGATAGCGAAACATATAGAAAACTTTAGATTTTATAAAAGCTCTCTTTCTCCTCTAACTGACGCAATAAAATATAGTCAGGCGGACTCATCCCGGAATTCAGGGGAAGCAGCCAAAGGCTTCAAGTCCAATAATCCAAATTTTTCTCTTTCGTCGTGATTATCGACGAAATTTACCTTCTTTCGGACTTCGTTTTTAGACTGAACTGTAGTATGAAGGATTATTTCTCGAATGATCAAGACTCCATAGGAAACTGACCCTCAGAAGTCAAGTAATGATCGTTTCTAAAAGCTTGGTTAAGCTAAAATTTTACGCAAAATTGTCTACGCGCCAATAATTATGACACCCTGCTGTACATAATTATGATAAATAAATTTTATTATTTATTTATTGCTCATGAAGACTTTATAGTGATGGATACGGTTAAAAATCTTTTGATTGCTAATAAGGTCAAGCACCTCTCAAATTTATCGAAATTCGAAAACTACAATTTATTGAATATCCACTGTTCAGTCTTATTTCTCACATCACCCCAGACGAATTGGCTGGTTAGATAAGTTTGCAAAAATTTGCGATGGCCACCAGAAAAGGCCGGCTAACGAAGCCGGTTAGTGGTCAGCATAGACAGAGCCTGAATCACGTAAGTTTCAATTTCATTTGTTTGTCGAATATGTTGAATAATAACGTTTCATACTAGTAAAAACAAGCGATGCTTGATATGATGTATAACATTTTTCGAGCTAAGAATCCTATATTTAGAAAGTGACTTAATATTTTCGCAGCCCCAGGAGGAGGATAAAGACGCATTAAATGCACGAATACAGGCAACACATCGCTACATTTTCGATCGACTTACAATAATGCTAGGATTGGACATTGAAATTATTCAGGAGTCGTTCCTGTCGACTGATCAAGTAAGCTACTTTATTTCCTACCAAGTCACTGAATATGGCAGATAGGATGGTTTATCAATAAATATTTGATATGATTGAGATGTGTTTGTTATGATCACTGCCTGGATTAAGAGATAACTGTTTTCAGCTGGAAGCGCTCGACAGTTTGATGAGAGCGAAAGAGAAAAGCTGTGTGGTTGTATTCCTGCCTTCTGCTCCACCAGCTCCGGGTGGGTCTTTAATTTCATCTATTCTATTTATACCAATGGTCATCCGATGGCTAATAATTCCATTGCTGTATCTTTTCTAAAATTAATTTATCGGAGCTTTCAAACTGAAACACGGTAAAATAACTTTTCACGTCACAAATTTCTTGCAGAATCGGAGACGGAAAGACGCGGAAGTGCCAAGCCGTCGCCACCTTGTCCCTTTGTCTTGACTGAAGGGAATCAAGAGCACATGCACGGAGAGGGATTAATCGTGTACATCACTAGAGTCTCAGACAGGGCTATCACCATGAACACTATTGATACGGTATTATTACTGAACACTATTGATACGGTATTATTACGTCTTTTGCAAACACTTTCGCTTTAATTTACTCGATGAAGCTCATATTTTATATTTATTACATTTCAAATTATCTTCACGCAGGAGCTGCTGTTTGGGTGTCTTGGGGTGGAAAGTGGACAAAGTGCTTTGAGTGTAGCTCAAAAGATACTTGGTTGCGTGTTTAACCCTTATATTGACGTATTTGACTTTGTCTCTACGAGCTGTCCTAACGGAGAAGAACTCAAATCTGCGTTTCAAATTGAACTCAACGGTACAGCACATTAAATAACGTTATAATTCTAATTATTAATATTATTGACGCAATATCAATAATGATTAACTGACATCGATACAGAATTTCCGGAATCTAAATTTTATAGTGGAATTGAAACAAAACTAAAATATAAACATTAAACCAACATTTCACAGAGTTTGACAAGTCGTTGTTGGACGCTCAAGCTTGTCTCCTTGAAACTGTTTTCCTTTCAAAGTGTGAGTTGCCCGAACTGGAAGATTGGACCAGCCTCAATGCCTGGCAGTCCGCAGCTTGTGATAAGGACACGTTAGCTGCTGTCGAGAGCATGTTACAGTCGTGGTGCAAACGTATTGAACTCGTGAGTGCCTAAAACATCCAACATATTTCAAGCTCTTCGTGTGTTTTATCATGATTTTGTGACCATGATTTAGTAAATGTACGGTATCTCTCAATTCAATGATAAGTGTAAGGTTAGCTGCAATCAGGAGCAAGCAAACACTGATTGAAATGAAGAGGAATATAACGATACTGTTCGTTCAGGTGCTGATAGAGACAGATCTTATTCAAAAGGAATCTGACGATATCGGTCCTTATGCAGAACTTGTGAGCTGGAAAAACAGGTCCACTAAGTTCAACTTCCTCCTCGAGCAGATAAAGAGTCCAATATGCAGAAATGCATGTGGTATACTGAAGATCGCAAAAAGTAAAACTCTCGAGGTGAGCTGTGAGACTTTTCCGTTGAATTAAAACTACGTCCAATTTGTATTCTAAATTTTGTCGATGTTTTATTTCAAATGATCAACTGAAGTCTCTTCCTTTTGAATGTTCTAACATTTTAACTCCATGTTACAGGCATGGAAAACATTCGATCAAAAGATAACAGACGCAGCAAACGAAGCAAAAGACAACGTTAAAATTCTGTACTCTCTCCTGACGTACTGTCAGCCGTTATACTACAGTGATCCAGTCAGCATTAAACCGGAGATAAAGAAGATGATGGAGGCTATCCTTATCATCTACACAACTTCACAACATTATAATACGACTGACTGCATGACCCATCTCTTTGTCAAAGTTCGTATTATTTTTATTTTGTGTTATTTGAAATTGTGTTTCAGTTGCTTTTTTTGTGTATCGTGAACATAAATATATAGTAAAAAGGCGCAGGCTGTTGATGTGAAGTCTTTGTCATAGCATAAGTATAAATAAAATAAACTTTTATATGGAGAGGTAAAATATTTGATATTTCATGAAAGACTTTAAAACCATTGATCCACTCGATCAACGATCATTGAACCACATGATTAAGATAGATAGGAATATCTCTGGGTAGAAATGTCCTAAAATGATTTTTTTACTTGCACTTCATCGAGGTAAAAATAAAAATATACGCTTACAATTACAATCTCCTCAGATAACAAATCAGATGGTAGTAGCGTGTAAAGATTACATAACAGACAAAGGAGTACACCGCATTTGGGATTTCACTTACTCTGAAATCAGCAAAAGGATTCAGGACGCCTTAGATTTGTACAACGAGTACGATAGTGGCTTCCAAGCCATGAAGAACAAATCTGATAAAGAGTTCGATTTCTCAGAGATGTACACATTTGGGAAATTTGTTTCCTTTTGCAAACGCCTTGAAAAGGTAGTAAATGTTTCTTCGAAAATGAATTGTGGTTCCATACAGCATATCGCTGCTAGCTCTAATTCGTTGATTCTGTAATCTTTCTCTTCATAAATCTAAATCTAGAAATTAAATACTTATCTCTCCCGATTCAATCGTTTACTTATCGAATCAACTGTTTAGATAAAAGCCATGTTGAGCACCATCGAGAAGTACAGCGCCCTCACAACAGTTAAACTTGAGGGATTCGAATCCACCATCACCAAGTACAAGGTGATTGTGACCACCATGCAGAAAAAGGGCTACGACTTCTTGGACCAACGAAAGGCGACGTTTGACGACGATTTCGACTATTTTAACAATCAGATAACACAGCTGGCCAACTCTATAATGATTTATTCTGAGGTTGCTATCAATAGGAGACCAAGTGTTACCAGATGTTTGGAAGTGCTTAACAAGTAAAACTACAATTCTTACTTGGAATTATATGCTATTTTATCGAGATTTTGTTAGATTCTTTAAACTTGTTATGGACGCAATTTACTGCAAAGAAAATCTTACATCTCACCTAAAAATAAACTCCGAAACATTCTAGATTCAATATATTGCAGGATTGGAAAGTTAGACATAGAGGAGATAAAGTTAGGACCACTATACTCACAGATAGTGGAGCGCTATCAAGTAGAGCTAGAGGAAATCCGTAAACTATACACAGATAACAAGGAGAACCCAGGTCTGCTCCGGAACATGCCCAAAACTAGTAGCGCTATATCCTGGGCCAGACATCTTCACAGACTCATTTCTGGTCCAATCTTCGAGTTTGAAAGACTCTGGATACTTACTCCTCTGGTTGGTAAAATATTAACTTTTTAGATACTTATTTAGTTGCATCAACATATTATTTGAATTCAGAAAATAACTATTCGATACATGTTTTATTATTAGCTGACTATAATAGAGTATAGACCCTGGCCTAATAAACTTGCATTGTCATCATTATCTTGCTAAAATGTATTTATTAACTTATTTGTCAAAAATATACCTTGAAATTATCTGACGGTTGGTATTTCGCAGACAAACGAAGAACATCGTAAAATAATAAAGAAATATAACCGGATGGCAGAGTGTTTGATAACATTTGAAATGAAGCATATAGAGGCATTCAACAAAGTTTATGGTGTTGTTAAGACTTGTAAGTGACTTGATTTAAAACTGAATTAACTGAGTTAATTACTTCTCCAAACTGAGCTTCCTGTTTTTATCTTGCACTCGAGATTCACAATAAATGAATTATATGATCCGTCCCTATATCATCTTCATGGTATCATCTTCAATTGTAATAATATTTTTAATGAGAATTTGTTCTAAGGATTTAAAATTTGCATAAACTTTTAGAACTTTAAAACCTATTCAGTAACACAATTTTCAGCTTTAAAAGCTTCTATCCTGGTAAAGCACCCAGAAACGGAGAAATTATACATCAACTTTGATCCTTCGTTTATCGAACTCATCAGAGAAACCTCAGTCTTCCAACAGTTATTGCACATTGAGCTACCTACCGCTTCTGAAGACATTGTCATCAACATCAACGAGATCAAATTTCGGTAAGTCCCACAGTTGATCTTGCTCGATGTTTAACAGGTTTTATCCGGAGAAACTTTTTTCATACTTGACTACCTTATGTAAGACATATTTATGGCGGCCTAATTTGCGACGACCGAAATTTTGGCGGTCCGAAAATATGTCGAAATTGAACAAAAACCGTCAAATTTCGGACGTCACAGAAAATAAGGGTATTTTTCATCATTTTTTGTGACAGTAAGCAGTAAGGAAGTTTCTGAAATTCGGTAAAATCATGTTCAAACTTAGTCTGTATTAAAACTGTAAGACTTTCATGTTAGCACATGCATGTATTTTAATGCAAATTTAAACTGTATTGCTTGACATTCAATTCGTCATTGGTGTGGTGATAATTTGTGCCAGAATTTATTTATTTATTTTACTTGATATTACTTTTTAGAAACAAAATAAAGCAGTGAAGGCACAGTCATTGAAATAAGCTAAAAGATAATGCGACGGATTCTATTACGACGGCCGAAATTTTGGCGGTCCGAAAATATGGCGAAATTTTCGGAAAACCGCCACATTTCGTACGTTATAAATATGTCTTGTAAGGTACCGTAATAATATGAACTAGGACAAATTATAACTCTTTGGCAAAAACAATGTGAGACTTTATCTGATGAGCTATTGTATTCAGGTTTGAGAAAATAAAACAACTGTTAGACGACTACGACAAAGTTAAAGAAGCAATAAATCCTATCATGAGAGATCTGATGTCTTACAGAATTGACATGTTGGATGCAGTTGTGTTCAAAGGAACGTACATGATGACGTGGAACTCTCTTCTCGTAGAGGAATACTTCAAGGAGGTGGAGAAAGAGATTTACTCAACAGCTTGCCTTATGAAGGATCTAAACGATATATTCGAAGTGAGAATAATGTCCATTTGGAATGAGATTGAAACGACTCAACTCTGTTCGTTGCCTGAAGCTCCCATGGATGTGTTCGTATTTGGTGAAAATGTGAATACTATGTGTGCTGCAGCCACTCCTAGGATGTACGCTTTGAGTCAGAAAGCGAAGGAGGCCGCCTTTGACCTGGTTAATGTATTCCAGAGTAGGATCGGAATCGAAGGAATGGATCAGTACAATGTTTCGGATGGAGAGACTCGAAATTCTCCCACTCCGAGAGGTTTAGAGGATCAGTCCAGATCAAGCGTGGAGACGCGTTCTAGAAGTCCTAAGATGAATACTGTGCTGAGGAACAAAGCGCTTGGTCGAAAAGAAGATGCAGCATTTGACGAGACGTTAATGGCTGAGTTCAGTGCTGTTTGTGACGAGCTGATCAATATTCTTCACAACAAAACTATAAACATGGTACTGAAATGTATTAAGCACGCTCTTGATGCCATCAAGAGACGCCTCTTCCACGGCAGACAGAGCTTCAGCTACAGGAAGGTCGAGGAACAGAACAAGAATTCGGTTATCTCCTTCTTCTACGCACACGTCCACCTCGACATCCCATCCATTGTGATAAAACCTTCCCTTGACACGATCCAACATGAGCTGAACAGCGCTATACACAACGTGATACAGACTTCAGCTGGAGTGAGGAGATGGTACACTGGGTTTTCAGAGGGAGGTCAACCTCTGACCACCATGAGTGTCGTGGACCACAAGGAGATCCTAAAGGTCTCCTCAACATTAGCCTCAGCAATACAGATGAGTAAACCTGATGTGGAGATTGAGATTGAGAAGTTCAATAATTACGAGTTTGTCTGGTCTAAAGACAAGGAAACAGTCATGGCAGCCTTCCTGGAAGACAAGCCCATAATTTCGGATTTCAACCAGGAAATTCAGTACTACGTGAACCTCAAACAGGAAATAGACGAAGATTTCGCGGATGTGATAAAAGTAGATTCAATAGCCTTGCACTCTGAAAATTGCAAAGAAAGCATCAAGCAGGAGATTAGGAACTGGACACTGAGGTACGCTCGTACCATGAACGATAATTTTAAAACAAAAATGGTAGACGTGGAGACCGTCATCAGCGAGTTGACAACTCGTCTAAACAGAAATATCACCGATTTGGACGATGTTCGTTTTGCTATGATGGCTATAAACGAGTTCAAACAGGAAGAGATCATGCTGGACACAGAGATTTGTCAGATTGAAGACTGCTACGCTTTGCTCAACAGACTGAATGTCCCCATCCCACCCGAAGAAATAAACATGGTAGATACTCTGAGATACGGTAAAACTAAGATGGCAAACAAAGCTCAATCCGTGTCGTACAATCTACTGGATCTCCAGCCCACCATGAGAGGAGATCTGATCAGTCAGGTGGCTCAGTTCAAGGTAGATTCAAAACATTTTGTTGACGAGTACAACACAATGGGTCCCATGGTGGACGGTATCCCACCCAAGGAAGCCAGCGCTAGAGTGATTCAGTTCGGAACCAAGTTTGAAGCTATTTGGGCACGATTCCTCACTTATTCCGGAGGAGAGAAGCTGTTTGGCATGACGGTTACTGATTATCCAGATATTCAGCGGATAAAGAAGGAGCTTGGTTTGCTACAGAAGTTGTACAGTTTGTATAACAGCGTTATCACTGCTGTTCAGGGGTATTATGATATCATCTGGACTGAAGTTGATATTGAGGCGATCAACGCTGAGATCCTGGACTTTCAGAACAGGTACAGTCGACTTAAATTACATTTACAAGTAATGGTGGTTGTACAAGTGGGAATGATTTCCAAATGATTCTTTGAGTATACATTCCGTATTAACCGTATCTCCAACACTTATCCTAGGTGCCGAAAGCTACCAAAAGCGATGAAGAACTGGCAAGCGTTCCTGGAACTGAAACAATCTATTGACGATTTCAATGAATGTTGTCCTCTGTTGGAATCATTGGCAGACAAAGCTTTGATAGATAGACATTGGGAACAAGTTGGTATCCTATGCGGCTGTAAATTCGATATTCACAACGAGAATTTTCTGCTAAGAAACATCATGGAGGCACCACTTCTGCAGCATAAAGAGGTCATTTTTATTTTTGATAATTTTTTTTGTTAAATCCTTGATTTTTTGAGCTGCTGGTCCCTAGGCTGCAGGGGCCGGAGATGGAATTGTTAGAACCAAAAATCATGTCTCTGTTTTATTAACGATATCACAGGATATCGAGGATGTTTGTATAGCTGCTGTGAAAGAGAAAGACATTGAAGCAAAGCTGAAACAAGTCATAGCTGAGTGGAGCGTACAGGACCTTACTTTCTCGGGTATTTATTGTTACTAACTAAATTAACTAGCAATTATAAATACTTCGCTTAGGTATTTAGATTTAGATAATATCTAACATGTTATAACAGTGTTTAACAGCGGTAAATTCCACAGGTTAATTTTCCTTTGTAGACTTTACAGTTTACAGTCGTGTCAGGGATTATAATTATAAAAACCCAGAGTTTAAGAACAGAGGGGAGTTGCTGCTGAAGGCAGCTGACATTATGGAGATTGTGACGCTCATGGAGGACAGTTTAATGGTTCTCAGTTCACTCATGAGTAACCGGTTAGTTAGATGTAATATGTTAGGTTTAGTTGGTTAGTTTTAGACTTTAGTTGGTTAGTTTGTTAGTTTGTAACTTGTGTTCGTTGGGTTTCAGGGACATCTAGACAATTTTATATGCGCTGTTAAGTTTAACTAAAACTGTAACTGTAAAATATGTATGATCATACATCAACTACTCTCGGTGTTCAGTATTTTACCAGCTTATCGGGCAGACTATAAATGGAACAACTCAAATTTAAATAACATGACAAAATTTCTTCAAATTCATTTAGAATATACATATAATATATCTCAAATATATAATTAGACTCGCACATTGTTTAAATGTCGCTTCAATTGCGCATGGTCAGGGTCACTAAATTTAAACAAGATCAGTCCGTGATACGAATCTGGCGAGTTTCATCACGTGTCAAGGCTCATTGACCATGTGTTTAGTCACGTGTCAAGGCTCATTGACCATGTGTTTAGTCACGTGTCAAGGCTCATTGACCATGTGTTTAGTCACGTGTCAAGGCTCATTGACCATGTGTTTAGTCAAGGCTCATTGATCATGTGCAGGACATTAATGATTCTCCACCACAACACCCCTGTTGTCAGCGCGCATCTAATGAACGTGCTCATTGTAGAACACATTAAAACCAGTAACCCGTTTGAAAATCGATGAAACCCAAGTCTCAGAACAAACTCCAAGAAGAGAGCGGTCCACCGAGGTAGGTTGAGAAATGTGTAGATGAGGAGAAGAAAGGTGACCGTCTTGTGACCTTCAATGAACCGTTTCCTGTTCAGGACAGTGAGTCTAAGCTGACTTTCGTCAGACATCCGGGATTTTCTTTCGGGGCGTTCCACCATCATATCCGTATCGAATACCTTTGAACCGGGTACAGGGCTGAGTCGAACAGAAGAACTAGTGGGTTGCTCGACGGTCAGAGATGAAGAAGACATTTTTGATGAGATTTCGTCCTTTTTAGTAGTAGGTGGGATGAAATTGGTCCGGACGGAGTTTGGGGTTCGAGCCGCTTGGATTGACGATCTTTCTTCATTCTGAGAAGCTGTAATTCCATGCTGGGTATGATAAGTGGCTCTTCTGTGGTTGTTTGGTGTTCTAGAAGCCCTGATAGACAAATTAGTACCATCATCAGGTGTTTTGCTGGCGTGATCACCTCTCTTAACACTCCCCCGACGGGATGCCCTCTGATCTCCCTCCGCCTGGCCACCATGCTGGGTATGATAAGTGGCTCTTCTGTGGTTGTTTGGTGTTCTAGAAGCCCTGATAGACAAAGTAGTACCATCATCAGGTGTTTTGCTGGCGTGATCACCTCTCTTAACACTCCCCCGACGGGATGCCCTCTGATCTCCCTCCGCCTGGCCACCATGCTGGGTATGATGAGTGGCTCTTCTGTGGTTGTTTGGTGTTCTAGAAGCCCTGATAGACAAAGTAGTACCATCATCAGGTGTTTTGCTGGCGTGATCACCTCTCTTAACACTCCCCCGACGGGATGCCCTCTGATCTCCCTCCGCCTGGCCACCATGCTGGGTATGATGAGTGGCTCTTCTGTGGTTGTTTGGTGTTCTAGAAGCCCTGATAGACAAATTAGTACCATCATCAGATGTTTTGCTGGTGTGATCACCTCTCTTAACACTCCCCGGACGGGATCCATCCGTCTGGCCACTTTCACTATCTTTCACCGCTTCTAAGAACACCTGAATCTTACAAGAGTCGGGATCACTGACATACCCGATACAGTGCCAAGCGAGGAAGGCTATGACAGCTGTCATGATGAGATGAGGAGCCAGGAAACCCAGGGACCAGTAGAGCTCGTGAGCTAGAGTCTTCCAACTGTCCCCAGTTCCACCCACCTCGCTCCAGGTACAGAAGTAGTACCGCTCACTGTACGTGTACTCTAGGTTAGGGAAAGGCATCAGAACATATGAGGAGATCAGAAGGACAAACAGCACTAGAGCTGTTACACCCAACATTCTCCTGACTGTAACGTCCGTTTTACTGGGAGGTACACTTTTCCTCATCGTTCTGAGTCTGATTATTCCCAACATCAACAGGATTAGGACAGATCCCTTGTCACACACAAAGTGAATGCCACCTGAAAACGCACACATGCTCTCATTCAACATTGTTTTTCCCTCGAGCCACAAATTTATTCCGAACGGAATTCCAACGACGGACATTTCTAGAGTATCGGCAGTGACCAGTACCAGAAGGAGCTTTGTGAACGCGTTAGAATCATCTACAGAAAAGCCCTTGGTGAGAAGTTTAGCCAGGATCAGGTTTAAAAGAGTAGATATGGCAGATACCATGATGGCGAACCCTCCCAGTAAAGCGTGTCCTGCGCTGCTCAGCGTCGAGGAAAGGTAGTTCTCATCCTCCCACAGTACAGTGAAGTTCCGGGAGGATACTTGTGACATCTCAGAGGTAATTGTTTTTCAGGGAAGCAGCTAACCGATGTGTTACACTATAAGATTCGTGAATCAGATAGGTGTAATGCTATACCATAGTTCATGTCTGCGAAATCAGTTTTTAAACGTTTCTAAAAAATGTCCCAGCTGGATTTCGAAAAAGTCAATTATGTCTAATTTATTCCGAGAAGGAAAAAAAAAACAACTCTTAGTTACAAATCCTTTCAGCTTGCAGGTCAGCAGATAATACAGTTGCTAATGAAACGGACTATTGAAGATCAATACATTTTTACTGTTACGACAGCTTCGTCATAATCTGAATACTCAAATTATCTGTTATACAGCATAATAGTAGTGTTGAAAGCATTAAATAAAGATTATTAAGTATAGACTTGGGTATTTGCAGGGCGGCAATTTGATCCATATATGAGCTCCAACACGTGCCGGAAGCTGATTGGTTACTGACAAAAAATTGTGCTGTTGTAACAGGGAGTGAGGGAGAGTATTAATATTCATTAGTCCGTTTCATTGGCAACAATATTATTTGTGCATCTGTCAAGCCGCTAAGATCTATCAAAGTTTAAGCTCATCCCAATAAATGTTGTCAATACACTTTACACAACGGTTCAAAACTAAGCCGCGACTGCTTTGGACAAAAACCATACACATGTTCGATACATGTTAGTTGCAAAAGTGAAACAGTTTGACCATAAAAATAGTAGATCATAAAAAACAGACTAAACAGACAACAACACAGTAGATATACTAAGCGTGTATTGTTTGTAAAGTAAAACAATAGTTTAAACGTTGCCCGCTCTGCAGAATGCAAATGTATTATGCGTAAATCTGACGAACGACGCCCGTAGAAATGTCACTTGAAAGACCTCGTCAGAATAAACGTCAAAAAGAAGTCATTCTACGGGAGATCGTTTTGATTGTTTCTCCACATTGACAGTATCGTGTATTAATAACTGACTGTAATTATAAGTAGAATTTCTTTTCTTCTTCATTAACACAGTGTGCCAGTTCGTATGACCATGTTCTAGAGCAGCTGTTTGGCCTTTGTGGCTAAACCACGACACGCAACGAATGAAATAACATAATATGTGATCGAAACCAATACAATATGACAGTATGAGACCGTGGCCAACAATTATCACATATTGAGATTCAGCTGGTGAATTAATGAAGGAACAAGCAAATCATGAAATACAATTGGATGCGTAGTGCGAATCAGAACAGACTACTATAACAGAGATCATCACTTCTTGCTCTATTCAGCAGCTTCTCTTTGTGTGACTCTTCCTGTAGCTTCCGGTCCAGTTTCACTTTGAATAGTGAATAGATATTTAAAGTCGCTATTATTGTGCATATATTGTCATATTTCTTTTGTCGTTTGATGTAGGTTCAAATTCGGCTTATGACATTGCTCATGTGATCAACTGGCCAAGTACAATAAACTAAACTACTCATTTCATCACGATATTGTTATTTCAGAGGTTCTGATTAAATGTCAATAATTTGACCAGAGGCAATATATAAGACACAAGTGCGGTGGGTGCGGAATCGTATTAATGACCTAATACCGTACTTTTTCGCACCATCGCATCGGCCGTTATTAGTTCTATCAGATTTGTGTACTTGGTATCGCTGTATACAATGAGATCGACATGCCCGTAACTATGGTTATATTAGGATCAAACGTTTTTCATGACGCAACATAAAAACATCGGAAAATTGAGTTGGTAATGGATTACCGCATCTAAATGTAACATCTTTATTCTTTAAGTGCAGTGGGTGCGGAATCGTACTATTGACCTAATACCGCACTTTTCGCACCATCAGCCGTTATTCGATCTATCAGATTTGTGTACTTGGTATCGCTATTCGCTATGTACAATGAGATAAGATCGACATACCCATAGCATAACTAATAACTATGGTTAGGGTCAAACGCTTTTAATGACGTAACATCAAAAACATCAGAAAGTATAATCAGGAAAAACATTTATAGAACAATAATCATACATATTCCTAGAAAGATCATTATTATTATAATCAGATGGCAAGTTAATAATGCTAATATGACTTTCAATTATACTATCGATATTTGATGATTAAAACAAAACAGGGTGAATCTTGGCAAACGAATAACTTGTCAAGCTGGATCAGAATCCCTCAACAGATCGAAATTGAGTCACTTTAGTCATTTGTGCGTGCTTTACGTACACACAATGTGTTTGAATGTGAAAAATAGGTTATAAATGTTGTAATGTAACTCTAAAAACACAATGCCTGATGCCTCAACCCAAACCCCTATACCAGTTATTGTGCCCGTGTAATTGATAAACCTTCTATGAGGGTAGTTTTACGCTTGTACACTATACAGCTTGAAATTTCAGGAAACTCAGTGTACGTTATTTGTTGCATTAAGATCAACAATGGTGTAAGGCAACACGTTATACACTGCGCTGATGAGTAATCCAACCTTACTTAATTGCGGTCTTTTTGCCTCCAAATTTGCCGCGCATAAAACAGTTTTAGTCGGGTGCAGAATCGCACTATTTGCAAAATAATACCGCATCTAA